TTTCCTTTTTGTCTTTTTTCATGTCCGGCAACGGATCGCAACCCTCAGTGTCGCGCCCGTACCGGACCGGGACCGGCAACGGGACCGCAAACCTCAGTGTTGCACCCGCACCTCGCACAGCCAGTGAGCGGGAACCGGTCTGCATGTGGGATCCGAACCCTCGGCAGGAGCGCCACCGCGCTCCCAAGCGGCGCACTGCAGTAGTGCGCCACCGGGCTGGCCCCTTCCAGGGATTTTGATTGGAGTTTCATTGGAATTGCAGATTAATTGAAGAAAAATCAATAATCTTAAGTATATAGTTTTCTTATCCATGAATATTTTCTCCTTTTAGTTTATTTAGGTTTTCTGGGATGTCTTTCAATGAAGATTTATAATTTTTTCCATGAAGGTCTTGTACCTCTTTTGTTAAACTTATTTCTAAATACTTCCGGGGTTGTTTGGTAGATATTTTTAATAAAAAGATTAATAAGAAAAACTTCAAACATATACAAAAATAGAATAGTAAAATTAGTTTCCATTTATCTATCACGGAACTTCAGTTTTCATCAGTATAAGTCAGTCTTGTTGTATCTATACCCTTCTTAGCTCTCTTCCACTCCCCTCATTCCCCAGATTGGGTTGTTTAAACAAATCCCTGTCATCAAATGATTTCAGTATCTCAGATATCAAATCACATTTTGTAAATACTTAAAAGGTATCTCTAAAAGATGTAACTTTACAAAAATTATAACACCATTTTCATACCTAAGATTTTAAAAGAATAATTGCTATCATCAAAGGTGTAGTATGTATTCAGATTTTCCTGATTTCCTTATACATTTGCTGTTTTTTACAGCAGGATTGTTCACGTAGGATCCAAACATGTCTCACATATTGCATTTGGTTGATGTGTCTCTTAAATTCCTTTTGATCTTTAGATTCTGTGTGTGTGTGTGCATGTGCCTGTATGTTTGAAGAAACTGGATCTTTTGTTCTAACAAATTTCCCACATTCTGGATTTTGTTGATGGTATCTTTATATTAGTCAGGGTTCTCCAGATAAACAAAACTGATGGAGATGGAAGGATGGATGGATGGATGGATGGGTGGATGGATGAATGGATGGATGGATGGATGGATGGATGGATGGATGGATGGATGGATGGATGGATGGATGGATGGATGGATGGATGGATGGATGGATGGATGGATGGATGGATGGATGGATGGATGGATGGATGGATGGATGGGTGGGTGGATGGGTGGATGGATGGATGAGGGGATTTATTAGAGAATTGGTTTATTTGATTATTGAGGCAGAGAAGTCCCAAGATAGGCCACCTGCAAGCTGGAAAACTAGAGAAGCTGGTGGTATAGTTTAGCCCAAGTCCAAAAGTCTGAGAACCAGGGGAGCCAATGGTGTAACTCTTAGTCTGAGGCTAAAGGCCTGAGAACTTGGGGAGCATCTGGTACAGATCCTGAGTCCAAAGGCTGGAGAACCTGTAGTTCTGATGTCCAAGGGCAAGAGAAGATGAGTGTCCCACCACCAGAAGAGAGAGCAAATTCACTTTTCCTCTGTCTTTTTGTTCTCTCTGGGCCCTCAGTGGAGTAGCTGGTGCCTGCCCATGTTGGGTGAGAGTAGATCTTCCTTACTCAGTCCACTGATTTAAATACCAACTTCTTCCAGAAACACCCTCACAGACATACCAGAAATAATGCTTTACTAGCTGTTTGGGCATCCTCGACCCATTCAAGTTAACCCCTAAAATTAATCATTACATATCCTTATGGTGTCTTTAAATTTAGAGGCTAGATGCTATTCAAGTGGTTGAGTTTTTTTGTTTGGCTTTTTTTTTTTTCTTTTTTTTTTTTGCTAGAACACTTCATGATAGTGGTCTTATGTCCTATCAGGAAGGATATGTCTGGTTGTATCTACTTTTTGTGCCATTGGAATTGATCACTGGGTTCAGTTGTTTGGGGCCCTGATTCATCCATTTTAAAGTTCCCCCACCAACTTTTCTCCTGGAGGTTTTATTTAGCAGCTGTGATGATTGTTTCTTTTATCCATTATTTCACTCGGGCATACAAAATAGTGATATTCTAATATCTTCATTCTAATGCATTTGTTAGCTGGAATTTTTTAATTTTTATAAAGAATAGTTTTTATTATCATCTCTTTAGTTACCCAGAGACATAATTTATATGGGAGAGGCAGGATAAATGCTTGTTAGATGCTTTTAAAAAAAAATCAGTTAGAATAAATATTCTCTAATTTCCTCCAGACACGAATAGGGAAGGTTTTTTCTTTCTGAATATCATTATAAATCTAGGAGTTTTAATGTTTTTGCTTAAATTTTAGAATTGGCTTCTCCGTTTTTACAAAAAAATAAAAGCCTGGTTGCTTTTAATTGAGATTGCCAGCAATTTGTGTTTTAGCAGTCCCTTAGAGTGATTACTGCACATGCTGAAGGTTGAGAACCACCACTATAGCGGATACACCTAGGAGAGGGACTGTTGGAGCATAAGGTATGAATAGATTATGGCCAACTGTTTTCTAAGTGGTTGTACCAATTTACATTTTACCAGTGATATAGGAAAGTTCAGGTGGCACCACATCTTTGGTGTTGTCAGGCTTTTTAATGGTAATTCCTTTCTCCTCCCGTTTTTTAGTTTTAACGTCTTTATTTGTAAAATTAAAAATTAGGTCACTGGCCAGTAAAATCTGAAAGTCTGGGAGTGACTGGTCTAAATTAAATGTCTTTGAATGCAGGGATTATGTCATCATCTTTGTTCTCATTCCCAATCCCTAGCAGAGTGTTAATAAGCACATGGAAAATTATATACATATCTATGAAATTGAATTTTAGAATATATTTCTCTTTTCAGTTTTAAGCAATTTCTCCATCTTGTTTTTTTATCAAACCATTCATCAAGACCTAAAGTTTATTTTAAAAGCATAGTAATGCTTTTTGAAAGATCACCGTATACTTTTCTTATTTATTCTATTTAATTTTTTTTAGCTTTTATCTCTTCTTTTTGAAGATTTGTTCAAAAAATTTAATTCTGAAATGAAGAAGATTGCAGACCAGGTGATTCCTAAGCAAAGAGCAGCCCAGTTTGATGTTGTGAAGCACATGCGCCAAGACCAGATTACCAATGGCATGGTGAATGCCATTTCTACTGTAAGTCTTCAGTCATTCTTTTCGATTTTATAATTTATTTGTAAATCTATACAGTGGAATGGAAACTTAAAGTCCTTTGAGAATCCAGGTGATTATATTTATATTTAAAGAAATATGTATTTAAAGGAATGTTCACAAATCACAAATTTTCTGCTTTGAAAGATAAAGTTTAAATGTTATCAGTAGGAATTTTGTTACTATAACTTTCCTGCCAAATCATATGAATTATATAAAGCAAGAAAATAGATACTCTTACATAGAAGAAAAATCTATTAGTTTAACTGTTAATAGCCAGTCTTTTATTTATTTATTTATTTTATTTTTATTTTTTTGTCTTTTTTCGTGTCCGGCAACGGATCGCAACCCTCAGTGTCGCGCCCGTACCGGACCGGGACCGGCAACGGGATCGCAACCCTTGGTGTTGCTCCCACACCTCGCTCAGCCAGTGAGCAGGAACTGGTCTGTAAGTGGGATCCGAACCCTCGGCGGGAGCGCCACCACGCTTCCAAGCGGCGCACTGTAGCAGTATGCCACCGGGCCGGCCCAATAGCCAGTCTTTTAATAGATACTTTCCCCCATTTTTTAAATAAAATTAAATGTATGTAATAAAATCGACATCTGTCAGGCAAGTTTATTAATTGGCAACTTTTGTCCAAAACAATACAAAATATTTCATTTCACAGTAGGTTTATAGTCTTCAAATTTTATCAGCTGTTCCTCATGTGAGCAATGAATTCAGTCCTCAGTCCTAGGCAGCTGCAATGTATTCAGGGCTTCAGGCTATTCATAAAAAGTTATCAGATAGGTTTTTGCTCCTTTTCTTAAAGCATAACAACTATAGGTCTATCTGATAAAGTCTGACTCATGTTTTGTATGCCAGACATAAAATTAGTTTTATTGATGGGATTTTGCCCCAACAAAAGAATAGTGTAGTCTAACACATTAATTCCCTTAACAGTGAAAGAATTAGTGCAGACTTGCTTTAATACTTGACTTTAGAAATTTATATCTATGTGAGCAGCCCTTACAGTGATAGTTACATCTAAACTGGAGGTGAACTAGGCCTTTTTGTCTGTTTAGCAACATTAAACTCTTGTGGCCCAAACTTGTCTGAAGGAAGACCCCTGAATATTTGAAGAGAAGTCATCTCCAAAGAGTACTTGAACACATTTTGTTAGCATTGCTTTTCCTTGCTTCCTGACTCATGGTTTTCAGGTCTTGATAGCCATCTTGAGTAGTTCTTTTGCCCCTAAATATGCTGCTTTATGTCCCTGACTGGATTGCTTATTAGAAAAATCAGTAGTAGCCTTGTTGCAGGTGTGCTCCAATCTGTAGGCAACCAGATCAGCCTTCTACATTCGGCAGGTGTTGCCATTAGTAGAATGCTTTCACCAAATCAGTTTTCTCAGAGAGGCAGTTTTAGACCCCTTGCCTTTTCTCTTCCCTCCCTTTTGTAATGCTAGTGCAGAATACTGGAACAAGTTCTCTTGCCGAACATGTTGCCTTCACTCCCCATCCACTTCCTATTTGCCAACAGCTGCTGCCTTATTTTAGGTCAGTGCCCAATATTTATTTACCTTATTTACTATTACTCTCTGGGCATAAATCAGATTACTAGATTTATTTTCGTTCCAAGGATAAAAGGAATTAACTCAGTAAGCAATATGAGAAGTTAGTTTGTGGGATATGTGGGTTTGCTCTGTTTCTTTGTAGTGGATAGATTTTTCCTAGATTTTAGCTCTTTTCCACATGATCAAAAACTCAAGGTTCTGAAGTGGTAGATCTTCACTGTAATGATGATGAAACTTTAATTTGTGAGGAAGTTCCCAAAAAGTCACATATTTTATTGCAAAGAGATCCTAATCTCCTGAAACCCAATTTTTCTGTTTTCTACCACGAGGTTTTTTTTTTATTTTTTTTAAAAAGATGACCGGTAAGGGGATCTTAACCCTTGACTTGGTGTTGTCAGCACCACGCTCAGCCAGCGAGCGAACCGGCCATCCCTATGTGGGATCCGAACCCGGGGCCTTGGTGTTATCAGCATCGCACTCTCCCGAGTGAGCCATGGGCCGGCCCAAAACAACTTTTTTTTTTTTTTTTTCCCCCTTTTTTGTCTTTTTTTACTGACCGGTAACGGGATCACAACCCTCGGTGTCGCGCCCATACCGGGGACCGGCAACGGGATTGCAACCCTTGGTGCTGCGCCCGCACCGCGCTCAACCAGTGAGCGGGAACCGGTCTCCACATGGGATCCGAACCCTCAGCTGGAGCGCCTCCATGCTCCCAAGCGGCGCACTATCCAGTGTGCCACTGGGCCGGCCCTACCACGAGGGTTTTTAACCTGGAATCCATGAGTCCTCTCCTGAAATTAAATGTAAAAGTTTGTGTTCATGGTTCTATGTGCATTTTACTCAAGAACATTCATAGCTTTCATCACATTCTCAAAGGAGAAATGAATTACTACAGATGCGATTTTTCTCTGAATTAGATAATTGAGTTAATTTTTTTGACGTTATATTTTCTACTTTACTTTTTCTTTTTCTTTTTTTTTTTTAAGATGACCAGTAAGAGTATCTTAACCCTTGACTTGGTGTTGTAAGCACCACGCTCTCCCAAGTGAGCTAACCGGCCATCCCTATATGGGATCCGAACCCATGGCCTTGGTGTTATCAGCACCACACTCTCCCGAGTGAGCCACGGACCGGCCCTCTACTTTGCTTTTTCAATGCATACTATTTTCGACTGTTAATTCATGTTGTCATGAATTTGAATTTTAACAATTTCTTACCTTAATCTTTAAATTTTACTTGAAAATATCATTTAATGTATATAATTGATACAAATATAAAATAATGAATTTAATAGAATACAGTGTATTAAATGGATAGGAGATAAAGTAAATTCAGTGTTCAAGGCTTATTTCATATGAATCTATTTTAATATTGACATGATAGCCACAGAGGATATATAATATTTCTTAATATGAATATATGTACAGTTTTTAGATTCCTCAAGCCTTGATTAAGAAGCCTACAATTTATTCATTATCCCTAAAAATTGTTATCAGCGTCATTTTTCTATTGCTATATTTTCCTCTAATTAAGACCAACTTTGGAAGACATCCAAATAACAGCAGAGTTCCACATAAAATTATATTTTTGAGCTTCAAACTAGTTTCACCTTGAATGTGTGTAGAAATTGCTAGTGTTTTATTAGTTAGCTTATTGCTTCCAGTGGAAATCACTGGTTGAACTGGCTTGTTCAGTATATAATTAGTTCCTCAGAACATGGCTGCTCTGCTGTGATAAGGTTGATGCATCAAAGCATTCTGAGATGGTTGCTAGATGTAGGTAATATTCACTGTATTCCTAGAAAACTCGTGAGTGACCTGGCTGAATTTTAATTTCAATTGTGGCATTTTGATTTCTGACTATATATCAAGCTCTAATTTTGTAAGCAAGCAGTTCTTATGATGACCTTCTCTGAGTGACTGCAAGGTATCAGGCAACATGTGAATGAGCGAGGGGTAGTCTTATGTCTTTCATCTCTCTATAGGGAAACTGGTCTCTAAAGAGATTTAAAATGGACCGCCAGGGTGTGACCCAAGTGCTGTCTCGCTTGTCCTATATATCCGCACTGGGCATGATGACGAGAATCTCTTCCCAGTTTGAAAAAACAAGAAAAGTGAGTGGTCCTCGCTCCCTCCAGCCGTCTCAGTGGGGAATGCTCTGTCCTTCAGACACGCCCGAAGGAGAGGTAAGGTACCTAAGGAGTCTTGTGCTGTGTCAGAGGTAACACCCATTGCAGGTTCTGCTTCTGCTCCCATCCCCCGGGGCATATCCATTTTTTGGTCAGCCACTTATCTGGCTGAAAAATGTGCTTGTCCAGACCGTATCAGTATAATTCCAAAACCAGGATCTACAATAGCATTTGCTTCAGTGTCTTACCTAAACAGAAACATGGTTCACATTTCTCTTGCTCATTTTAGTTTATCCCAAGAATCAGACCATGCAATGAAGAGGGGATAAGAGTGTGAAGACCCCATTACTTTTGATGCTCCCAAGAAGCCCTTTTTGAGCAGCTCCTTATTTTCTTTAGGTGTGCTTAGAGGACATAATAGACTCAGTTGCAGCCAAACTAGGAGCATAAAGTCCAAGTCCTAAAGTGGATTTTAACTCACTTGTATAGGAAACACAAGCAGTTACTTAAACCCTCAACCAAGGGCTTTAAGTAGGTTTTCTTCTATAGCACACTCTACTCCCTGTGTCATGGCCCTTTCTCCTTTGTGTTACAGTTGTTGGTTTTACTTGATTCTATTCGGTCTAAATTTTAAACTTCCAGAGAAAGGAAGGTTCACCATTGTATCTCAATATGATGTTCATGTCCTAGCATAGAGCCTCATTTGGGGTAAATACCCATGAATATATGCTGAACAAATAAATAAGTCAATTTATGATAAGTAAAAGATGTAGGTTCCAAAGTGTAGAAATTTGTTATGTCTTAGAAGAGGTAAAAAATAGGAGTCCATGTCGAGTTGTGATTTTTAGAAACTATACTTCTAATTTATCTTCAACCATATGGAAATTCACACTGAAATTATATAGTTTGTCAGATTTGCATAATTTGTATAAATCTTGAACTTTGAAGTACTAAATTTCCTAGAGATAGCTTCAGTATACTGATAAAGTAGCTATTTTGTGCATTATTATAGCAGGTGGTTTTTAAGAATTGTAGGTATAATCTTTACATGTCACATGTCGCTTGTTTTAGAATTTTTTTTGGCTGTGTAGAAGTTTAAAAATATTTATTTCCTTTTCAGAAAAAAGATTTATTTCCTTATCATTTTGAAACAATTTCAGACATACAAAAAAGTTACAAAAACAGTATAAAGATTTCCTATAATCATTCACCTAGATTCCCCAAATGTGAACATTTTATATAACCATTGCACAGTTATCAACCTCATGAAATTAACATTGATAACAATACTATCATCTATAGACCTTATTCAGATTTCACCAGTTGTCTCAAAAGTGTCTTTTTTTCTGATGCAGGATCACACATTGCTTTTACTTGGCATGTCTCCTTTGTCTTTGGAACTGTTCTTCAGTGTTTCTTTGCCTTTCGTGACCAAGAAACTTCAGAGTACCAGCCAGTCATTTTACATAGTCTCTCATTTCAGGCCAGAAGTTTTATACTTTTATGTAGATGAATTTATCAATATTTTCCTTTACTGTTTTTATACAGTGTCCTCATAATGACTATGATGTTCCTTTGTCTGGGAATAATAGTTTATATAACCGATTTCTTTTTGTTGGACATTTATGGTGTCAATTACACATAGTACTGTGCTGAGAATTTCTATGATTGAATCTGTGTCTGTATACTTGCTTGTTACCTTGGGATAAATTCCTCTGGGTTAATGGGCATGTACATTTTAAAGGCTTTTGTGCGAATCACCAGAGTGTCTCCTACTGGGCTGTGCTGCTTTACATTGCTGCCAGCAAAGTGGTGAGCTATTTTCAGACATAAACTGTACTTTGTATTACTAATATTCATTCTTAGAAGTGACTTTCTTTTGTTTTCTAGGCATGTGGTTTAGTTAAAAACTTGGCCCTTATGACACACATCACAACTGATATGGAAGATGGACCCATTGTTAAATTAGCCAGTAACCTGGGAGTAGAAGATGTGAATTTATTATGTGGGGAAGAGCTCTCTTACCCAAACGTGTTTCTCGTCTTTCTTAATGGTTGGTATATTATTGAGACATGTTGATCCTAAACAGTCTGTGTGGAAGGGGAGCAGGTCCATTGTTATTCTTGTAATTAAAGCACAAATATACTTTAATTCTGGACCCAGGCTGACTTTCATTTAAAGGTAGAAAAAATGATAACAGAAACAGTTATTGTATTGGCTGGGTTACCAAGGCTCTGAGAGGATATAGCTCTCGGAGTGATAACATTGCAGACACTGGTTGCTTTCTACCCTTTCGCAGCTGTTATCATCATATCCACAGTGGAACAAGATTCAATGTGGTATCTGTGAGTACAAGTTAAATATCTGAGTCATTCTGCAAAAATAATCAGATCAGCCTTATAGTGAGTTGACTCTATTCAGCCATTTGATAATTTATATGTCAACAGCCTATGGCAAAAGGATCCTTTTCCTTTGGCTCGGAGTGATAACATTGCAGACACTGGTTGCTTTCTACCCTTTCGCAGCTGTTATCATCATATCCACAGTGGAACAAGATTCAATGTAGTATCTGTGAGTACAAGTTAAATATCTGAGTCATTCTGCAAAAATAATCAGATCAGCCTTATAGTGAGTTGACTCTTTTCAGCCATTTGATAATTTATATGTCAACAGCCTATGGCAAAAGGATCCTTTTCCTTTGGCTCATATTCCAGTTGCTTCTTCCCAAATACCTCTTTCCACCTCCTTCAAAGTCCTCCAGGGACTTGGCAGCAAGTGTGCACTTTCCTTTTTCACTTTTGATTTGGTCATCTGTGTGCCTGTCCCATGCCCTGACCACTTAGCTCTCATGTCTCTCTTCTTTCCCCTTCCTCCCGCTCTGAGAAGTATTAACCCTTTACTGTATGTGCTAGTGAGGAAGTGGTCAGAACCCCAGAGGGCTATTAAGTGACTGCCTAATTCAGTGCATGCCAGAGGCTAACCGTGAGTGAGCTCTTCCTCTGCACTTTCACCCAGTACCTCTCCAAATCTTCACGCTAACCCTGGGAGGCAAAATCCATTATCCTCAGTTCACAAATGATGATCACAACAAGAGCAGTTTAATAATAGGGGTGTTTTACATAGATCAACTCATTCAGTCTTCACAACCACCTTGTGGTAGTGTGATAGAGCCAGTGTTTAATCTCAGGTGGTCTGGACTCCAAGTTAATGCTCCTAGCCCTGTGATGACAGTTGAGGAAAACAAAGCTCATTTTTTCAGTATTACTCAGCCATGGTAGGTCTGGCCCTGGACTCCGGGTCCCTCAGACTGCCTTTAACCACTCTACTATATTGCTTCCCTACAGCCTTGTGGACTGACTGCAGGTGTTAATAACATATTTTCAAGTGACTCCTCGATGCTGCTTATTATTTTTACTGAGTGGATTTTTAAAATCAGATTAGATTTGTCTTTTAATTTAATATTTAAAAAATTAATCAGGTTAGATTAATTTTTATTTTTATTTAATATTTCTTACCTATTCTTATTTCTTTTTGCTTAGGTAACATCCTGGGTGTCATTCGAGACCATAAAAAGCTGGTGAATACATTTCGACTGATGCGAAGAGCAGGATATATCAATGAATTTGTTTCCATCTCAACAAATCTTACAGATCGATGTGTCTATATTTCCTCTGATGGAGGAAGGCTATGCAGGTATATGTTACTAAAGAGAGTTTTTAAGAATCTCTCTATATTTACTTTTGGAAGAAACTGACTTGTTTTTATTTTTGAAGCTGCTTTAACCTCTTTCATTGTTAAGATAAATTTAATTCAGTTAGAAACACTACATGAATATGCATACTAGATACTGAAGATTCAAAGATTCATGGGAGGCAGTCTTTGCCCTTAGAGAGCTCAGTCTGCTGGGAGAGGCAGAAATAATTACTAATAACAGTCAACTCTGCTAGTAATTAATGTTAGCTACTATTTATTATTATAATGGATGTGTAAGGCCTTAACTTCAACCCTATGAGGTTGGCTTATTCTTTTCATTTAACAAATGAGGAAATTGGATTCAGTGAGGCTAAGTAAATTACCCAAAGTTAGAGTCTGTTTTTTTACTCAAAAGTTCTTGGAATTCACTTGACTCCAACAATCAGGACTTTGCCTGCCATATTCTTTTGCTACAAATTGAGCTTTAAAGGATGAATAGGATTGTGTTACTTAGATGGATGGGAAAAGGAGAAAGGCTAAGGGAAGGCAAGAATGGAAGTGTATTGGCATGAAGAAATAAAATAACTAATGTTATTTAGACCCAGTAGAAAAGTAGGTACCTTTTATTCATCCAGCAGATGTTTATTTTTTTTATTTTTATTTTTTTTAAAAGATGACCGGTAAGGGGATCTCAACCCTTGGCTCGGTGTTGTCAACACCACGCTCAGCTAGTGAACCAACTGGCCATCCCTATATGGGATCCGAACTCGTGGCCTTGGTGTTATCAGCACCGCACTCT